ATGAGTTTGATCTCAATGAAGATGAGGATGAAGATGAAGGATGGGATCTGACTGTATCTTAGACTCCCAGAGGATTCTGGGTAGTGGTTCATTATTGGAATCATTACAGCATCACATGAAGATTTAATTTATTCAATTAATCAATGTTGTCATTGTAAATTATAAAAACACGAGACAGTGAAAAGTCGACAACAGATAAAATCATTAAAAACATGTAAACCAGGTATTGCTGCCCCCTGTGGTTAATAAAGGAACCTACCACTTCGCTCTTCATCCTCTTCACTTCCTAAACTTTTACATTACATTACATTATATTTAGCTGACACTTTTATCCCAAGCTACTTACAACCAGTGAATGAACCACGAGGGAACAAAAACAGAACAACAACAATCAAGTAAGTACAATTTGCCTCAAAAAAGTCAAACTGCAAAGTGCAACAAAATTATTATTGTAATTTATTTATTTTATGAATTGGTTATGAGACATCCTCTTCTTCACCAAGGTGTAGTCTGAAGACATGTGTCTTTACTCTGTGGTGGAAGACGTGGAGACTTTCGGTCCTGGTGTCAATGTGGAGCTCGTTCCAACATTCAGGAGCCAGGACAGCAAACAGTCTGTTTCTGTTGAGTGTTAGCGCTCAGTGAGGGAGCAGCTGATTGGTCGATGCAGAGCGGAGTGGACGGGCTGGGGTGTAAGGTTTGACCATGTCCTGGATGTGGACTGAACCTGATCCGTTCACAGCACAGTACAAGTACTAGTGTTGTGAAACGGATGCAGCCGCTGGTCACCAGTGAAGAGCGGAGGAGTGTGAGTAAACTTAGGTTGAAGACCAGTCGAGCTGCTGCATTCTGGATGAGCTGCAGCGGTCGGATAGCACTAGCGGGTAGACCAGGTTCCTAGCAGTCTGAGTGGGGGGGCTACCACAGAGTTGTCAAAGGTAATAGTCAGGTCATGGGTGGGAGAGACTTTCCCTGGAAGGAAAATTAGTTTGGTCTTGTCAAGGTTAATTTTCAGGTGGTGTGCAGACGTCCACTGAGAGACGTCAGTCAGACAGCGCAGAGATTCGTGCTGCTACCTGTGTTTCAGATTAGGGAAAAGAGAGGATTAGTTGGGTGTCATCTACGAAAGCTGTGGTAGGAAAAGCCATGTGAGTGAATGACAGACCCCCCCCCCCCACCATACATAAAATAAATACTTGGATGAGCCCTGGCCTCGCCTCTTCTACCTTCCACCAAAAATACACAAGCCTCCCAAGATGTGGATGGCCCCTCCATCCCTGTGGTTCAGAATCATACAGGACAGGGACCAACAAATAATGAGCAAATTATACAGTTGCACAAGAAACAATTTTCAATTCAACAATAACCTCTATCTCCAGCTGTGTGGATGTGCAATGGGCCAGAAGTACTCACCATTGTATGCTGACATTTACCTAGGAGGAAACTGTATTGCAAACATCCATAGGATCACACAGGTCTTCCTCCAGCGACCATAAAAGATCCACTTAAGTTTTCTTCAAGATGCAAGGCCAGCCACAAACTATACATGGGGAGACAAGGAAGGAAGTCAATTTAATAATTAAACAACATATCTTCAAAATGAACAGTGGTGATGCTACAAGTGTTTTATATGCACATTTTGAACTCTGGACCACGGCTCAACGACAGGCAGCGGAAAAGATCCATTTATTAAAAACTATAGATCCATCCATATTAAATAAAAAATATATTCAAAATTGATCCATTCTAGTTTTTATAAATATGTATATATACAACAAATTAATACTTGAAATATCTGGCAACAAAGGATTATCGGATGAATGGAACCCACAGATCTATCTAACAGCAGTCCCAGTATATTTGTTTTAATACGATTAGCACTTTCATAAATAACAATTTTGTAAATTACTTATCCTTGTTGTTTATTTATTTTTAATATTTAAAGATTAGAATTTATCAATGCTCATATTTTATTTCACGCTATTGAATAGTAAGTATTAGGTATTGACGCTCCGGCTGCCTTCCCAGTACCGGTTGTTCTTTTAACCCTCTTAACAGCCTCAATAAGGAACATTGTAAGTGTATTAATGTATTCTGAATTTCCCAGTGTGTATCAATAAAGTTTTATCTTATCATGCATTCAGTCTAACTCTAACCTCAAACAGCCCTTTGAAAAAGTGAGGAGCGGTCAAAATGTCCTCTCAAAGTCAAGATGTCCTCACAATGATGGTATTGAACCAAAACTGTCCCTCATTACTATAGAAAGACACAAACACACACAGTCTTTGTTGAGCGTGGGAAACTGTCTGAGACAGAGGATCCATTCATGCTTCTCCCCCCAGGTCTCTGGGAAACAGTCGGACAGAACAGGAACGATCCATAAACATGGCGCCTCCATCAGGTTTGACCCTGTCATCACGTCTACACAATTAGTTCTGTCACATCACAGTCTGTAACAGGAAGTGTGTGTGTGTGTGTGTGTGTGTGTGTGTGTGTGTGTGTGTGTGTGTGTGTGTGTGTGTGTCAGGTCTAACAAACCTCCAGAGCCAGTGCAGTGCCCAGTGGCGCCCCCTGTCATCAGGTAACACCCTTCACAGTTACTGTCTTTATGTTGTATGTGATGAGTTGAGAACACGCTGGTTCACATGTTAACAACATGTGTCAGACCCATGGCTGGAGCGTAGTGTCTTCAGGTCCGTCAGTAAATGTGTTGCGGGATGCAAAGGTTGTTTGTGGGTCAGACGCTGTCATTACCATCGCTGCTTTGACAGTTTCAGATTGTTGACTTGACTTGTGTTTGTCATGCTAACTAGTCCTTGTGTAGCATCTCAGCTACTGTTGTGCATAGACTAGTTTTCAGTTTCCATGGCAACAAACCAGACAGAATCCTGATTTAACATTGATTGATCTGTGTTTCCATTGATTTATTGATTCTTTTCTTTCAGCTCCAGTTTTGGGAAACCTGTAGCTCCGCCCACCATTCCCACCACCTGGCATGCTTCACCTGAGGGTGACATCATCACAACACTGCTGGATGAGGCCCCGCCCCCTCCTCCTCCTGCAACAAATGAGGTGTTGTCTCACGATGTCCTGCCCCCACCGCCCCCTACCCCTGATTCATCAGGGGATATGGTGTCCCCGTCCCCTCTACCTTCTTTGCCTCCTTCTCATTCAGAGGCTCTGACCAATCACAGCAGTCCGCCGCCTCTAACCCTTGAGACAGGTGAGACGAACCAAAACACGCCAGTCAACTAGATCAACAGAACCAATCATCAGTCTAACCCTGAGTGACATCACAATGACATCATCTCTTGTCTGTCTCGTCAGTGGTGGAGGAGAACAGCTTCCCCCCTCCCTCCCCTCCCCCTCTTTCTGACGATGCCAGCTTCATTCTGCTTCCAAATGATGTTTCGGAGCTTCCAACCCCGCCCCCTCCACCAGTACATAGCCAGGAAGTAGACGGTACCTGTCTGTCTGTATCTGTTTACCTGTGTGTGTCTGTACCTGTCTGTATCTGTTTACCTGTGTGTGTCTGTCTGTGTGTATCTGTTTACCTGTGTGTGTCTGTCTGTGTGTATCTGTCTGTATCTATGTGTACCAGTGTCTGTCTGTACCGGTGTGTCTGTCTGTACCTGTCTGTACCTGTCTGTCTGTGTCTTTCAGTCCCTGTGTGTCTGTACCTGTGTGTCTGTCTGTACCTGTCTGTCTGTGTCTGTGTGTGTCTGTACCTGTCTGTCCAGTACAGGATTCATTACATACGTTTCAATTTGTGCTTCTTCCTCTCGGTTTCTTCTTCTGGGGTGTTTTTCTGCAGTGACCCTCCCGTCCAGGAGGAGTCGCAGACGCTTGCCCCCCGCGACTCGCTCTCTCTCTCTTCGGGTCCGCTCAGGCCCTGCCTCCCGCTGCCACTACACACGCTCTCTCTTCCTGCCTGCTGTCCAATCATGTAAGCTGACAGAGGACACCTCTGCTGTCTGACTGAATAGACAGATCATCAATAATTTACTGATCTGTTCAGTTGTTCCCCTAAGAAACAGAGAGGAGACCCTGACGTTTTTGAGGGTATCCTGGAGTCCCTGGTGATGTCCTGAAATCCTTTAGGATGTCCTGGGGTCCTTCAGTTGGTTGTCCCAGTTAGGTTTAAAAGTCCTTTTGGAAGGTGTCTTTTTGAAGGTAATTGAGTAAAGGTCAGTGAGGTCATTGATGAAGTTCCAAGAGTCCTTGACAATGCTATGGATATTCCTGACTCCTCTGGAGTCATTGAATAAATGTCAGGGTCCTTGCAGAGGTTCTTTGAGTACATGGGAAAGTTCACTGGGTCTTTGAATATTTACCAGAAGTATGAGGTGAGTCAAGCTTAAGATGCTTGAAGGTTTGAGGGCTCAATAAGGAATTTTTGGAGTTCTTGAGAAAAGATGCAGGAGATTTTAGTCTTGGTAGGTATTTCCAGGAAAGGTTCTATGAGGATGTTTGAGAAGTCCTGAAGCAGTTTCCAGGAGCCCTGAAAGAAGTTCTAAGGTCATTCAGGATTGTTTTCAGGTCCTTGAGTTCAGTTTTAAGGTTGTCCTGAAGATGCCAACAGTGATGTTTGAAGAAACTCTTGGAACATTGAGCAGGTCCTTAAGGGGTTTTTAACATCAGTGAGAAGTTCAGAACTATATTGACAGTGTAATGCGCAAAGATTGTTTCTGCCAACAGATGATAACTCCTTTCATTAATCATAGCACTGACTCAGCTTCTCGCTCTCTGTCCGTCAGTGATGATCCCCCCTCCTCCCCCATACCCTCCCCCCTGTGCTCCTCCCACCTCCTCCTCCTCCCCCACTCTGCTGCGCCACCCCTTTTCAGCTTCCTCATCTCGGCTCTGCTTACCTGCGCGTCTCCAACACCTGGGTAAGAAAACAAATACTGTGCTATCCATTCTCATCTAGAGGTAATGCTCCTAGTGGTGGTTCTTTGCACTACACACACCTGTACAAGTAAACGACCCGCTCTGTTGTCAAAGCCCTGCATCCTCAAAAACAGACCGTTCAGAGCTGTCACTCACAGATCCTGCATACTGTTCTTTCAGATCTGGAGATCCCTGCCCCGCCCCCTCCTCTCCTATTGGATGATGAGAGTGTCATCGATGACCTCATGCCACCTCTTCCTCCACCAGTGGATTTTGACTCTAACGCCCCCCCACATTACCTGGAAAAAGGTACTACATTACATTTCATTTAGCTGGATTACAATACATCAACCACGAGGGAACAAACCCAGTAGTAGTAGTAGTAGTACTACATAGTAATTGCAGAAGCAACAGTAGACGAAGTAATAGCAGCAGTAGTAGTAGCAGTAGTAGTACTACTACTGCTACTACTGCTGCTATTACTTCTTCTACTGTTGCTTCTGCAATGTACTTTAATACTCTCATA